GGGATCAAACTCAGACTATAGTGGTGAGAGCGCTGAGACTTAACCCCTAGGCCACCAAGGAATCTTAAAGTCAAGTTCATAGAAAGAAGGACTATGCCCGGGAGAATGAAGAAATGTTGGTCACAGGAGACAAAGTAAGTTCTGGGGACCTAACCTATAGTTTGGCTACTAAAGAACAAACTGTACTCTATACTTGAAGGGTGTTCAGAGAGTAGAGCTTAAAGACTCCTACACACAAAAATAGAAATGATAATTATGTGAGGAGGTAAAGGTGCTACCTAACTTTCTCATGTAATCATTTCACAATAGAGGTGTATATTAAATCATCACAAGGTCCACCTTAAGGTAAACCATTTTAACTTGTTAATCGGCTTAATAAAGCTGGGGAGAAATGGAACCCTCAGTGCCAAACCATCAGGCCAAGGCCATCCCTGACCTCATCTCCCTCACCTCCTCCACGTCAAACCTCAGAAGTCTCCATGTACTTAACAGCCTGCCCCATGCCTTTGCAGTGGCTGTTCCCTCTGCCTGGAATGCCCTTCCCAGTAGTATTCACTTGCTAATTTACTAATTTCAGATCTTAATCAGAACAGCAGAGAGGCCTCCTCTAACCACCCTCTCACAAATATGACTTCCTCCTCCTGCTCTCCTCTCCCTGCTTCGTCTTCACCACCATCCTGCACCCTGATATTTATCTGATTGTTTTCTCTTTGCAGTATGAGCCCCATCAGGGTAGAGATTTGTCTTACTGTGGAATCCCCAGCTCCCAACACAGAAAGCTACTCTGTGTCTACCCTGTTTTTAAAATGCACTTGAAAGTAAACTGCAAACACATAGTAGGTGTTCAGTAAGCAATTCTTGAGTAAAAGAGCAGACTGGAGTCGACCTACTATAGGCCTCCCGGGTATTCAAACAAATGAGTAGGCCTTGGTGCAGATTTGCACACACCCCCAAAATACCAGACATTGTCTCCTTTATGGCAGGACTTTTACAGGGACTGTACCGCTGAGACCCAGCTATAGAGCTACACCAGCCCCTCACTTCCCAGAGCCCACAGGTCAGCAGGAGGAGACAGACAGGAGACACATAATCACGCCAGTGATCTATCATGGTGAGGCAAACCTGCCCCCCCTCAGCCCCCCCCAGGAAAGGTCAGTGCTGCAGTGAAAAGGGATGCCGGGAGGATGGGGCTGGGAGGGGCCAGACAGTGACACAGCTTAGGGGTAGGGCTGAGTGAGTCTGCGCCCTGGGCTGGGGGGTGTGTAGGAGTCAGGAACAAAGAGTGCAGAGGATGTGCTTACCCCCAGTCCTGTGAGCCAGGGGGAGGAATCTGGGGCTGGGAGAGCAGGCCAAGGGCCACGCAGGCATTCGGTTATCTGGGTTATCTCGGGAGAGGTGGTACACGGCGAACTAGTCCTCTGGGGGTGGACCAGTGAATAGGAGGGAGATGGGGCTCAGCGAGGAGGCCAGAGCAAGAGTCCAGGCCGGACAGCACCTGGGGGGCAGGGGGAGCAGGGGCAGGTGGGACAGAGGCTGGTGAAGCTGAACCCCAGGGACTTGGTACTGACTGTAAGGGGGGCACCTGAAGGTGCGGCTGAGTGGCACGGGGGGGCGAGGCCCTCCCTGGAGTGGGACACAGCTGAGCTTGTGAGGTAGGCAGGTGGGGAGCTGGGGAGAGACTGGGTCAGGTGGGGGCTGGGAAACATTCTCTGGCTGCTGAGGGGAGATGGGCTGGAGAGAGTGAAAGTGCAGGCCAGGGACGGCCAGGCAAGGTGGGGTGAGGAGGGAGACGTGGGGTGGGGATGAGTGGGGTCACAGAGGCATGAGCAGAATGGCCCCTGTCCTGCACAGAGCCCCAGGCTTGCAGGAGCAAAACCCACACGGCCAGGGAAAGGGACTCAGCAGGACCAACCAGGCACCAGCGGCCAGGCCCGCACAGTGTGCCACAGGGAAACAGAGCACGGAACAGGTGAACAGATGAGCCGGCCCGGCCCGGGCACCGTCAGCTGCCTGCACCCACGCCAAGAGCCGCGGGTGCAGACACGGGACAGCTGCCCGCAGCCTGCCAGCGGGGTCTGGCCTCATTCCCATCTTACAGATGGACAAACTGAGGCTCAGGGAGGGCAGTCACTTGCAAGGGCACCTGCTCAGGAGTAGACCTGGGGTTGCACCCCACTGTGTACCCACACACAACTTGTCTGACCCTGTGGGTCTCTTGTGCCCACACTGCACTTCGCCAGGGGTGCCCAGGCATCCTCCGCTCATTCCTGAGCGTCTCTGGGGATGGAGTCCCTGAGCCGGCGTCTGAGGTCTGTCAGTCTGTCCGTGGGCCAGCAGCGAGCCCCTGCGTGCCTCTGCCTGTCCCAGCCTGTGTCCGTGGTGTGTGTGTGTGAATTTGGAGCTGAGTGCCCTTGAGGGGGAGCAGGGGCTGGCTGGGGCTGGGCTGGGGGTGGAGGCAGCGAAGGGGGTGTCACAGAGACTGAGGGGAGTGGAGATCTGGAGGAATGTTTACCAGACACCGAGAGCCCAGAGGGACTGCGCCCAGCCTGCTAGACACAGCGTCCGCCACGGCGTGGCTCGGGGCAGAGACACCAGGGGCCCCTTCCCCCCTCAGCTTCCCTCCCGGCCCCTTTAAGATGGGGCTGGTCCTCTCCTCTCTTAGTTAACCCCTCCAAGTCCAGGTGGCCCCCTTGGGCTCCCGCCCGGTGGGCGGAGGCAGAGGGGAGCGGAGAGGGAGAGGCGGGGAAAGGGTTGCTGAAGTTCAGAGGGAGAGAAGGAGGCAGGGAGCCGGGAAGGCTAAACGGCCGGTTAGGGGCCCCACTGTGCCAGGCGGGCAGTGCCAAGTCCTGGGAGCCCGGAGCTGGGGGGAGGGCTGGGGACAGCCCGGCCCTGCCCCCTCCCCCTGCAGGGTGCCCAGCAACTTCTGAGGAAAGTTTGGCATCGGCTGCGCAGTGGCCGGAGGATGGGCCGGGTCCTGCTGGCCTGGTGCTTGGCTCTGTGCTGCTGGGGGTGTGTGGCCCCCGAGGGTGAGTGATGGGGGTCCTGGGGGGCAGGACCCCCGGGAAGGGGCTGGGATGGATGGCAGGTATTGGAGCGAGTCCTGGGCTGGCCCTCGGAGCTCCCTTGAGATCACAGAGAGGGAGGCTGCGGAGGCACAAACGGAGGGACCCCAGGGGCTGGGGCGCAGGACTGACCGCTGGAGACGCTTGGAAGCCAGGGCAGGGGTCGGGTGGGATGGGGTCGGGGCTCTGGGGAGAGGCTGCCCGGGAAGGAATCTTCCAGAAGGGAGCACTGAGTCACTGAGTCCGGCAGCTGGATGAGGAGGGCTCTGGAGCCCCAGGCCAAACGCTCCCCACTGTTATCTCCTCTTGGTCCCCCCCACCGTCTCTCAGCCGCTGTTTGCTTCTCACCCCGGCTCTGTCTCTGAGGGTCTCTGTCTCTCCTGCCCTGCCTGTCTCTCCCCTGCTCTTGGGGTCTGGGGTCTATCTCCCTTTGTGTGTCTCGCCCTACATTCTTCCTCTCCCTGGAGTGCAGGGGTGTCTCTCCCCTAAGTTCTCATCCTGTCTCTCTCTGGGGAGGTCTCTGTTCTCCATCTGCCTTTCACTCTCTCCTTCCCTGCTTCTCTCCCTCTCCACCCCTGTATCTTCCCCACCACCCATCAGCCTGATCTGTCAAGTCTCTGGAGACCCTAAGTGAGGGCGGGATTGGGGGGGACAGGGGCCTCCCCGGCAGACTGTCCAGGGCGTGGGAGGCTGCCCGACTCGCCCTACTTCCAACAGACAGACCACGGATGGCTCCGGACCCCAGTCTCCTGGGAAGGCACCCTCCTCCCCTAAAAGCCTCCACCCTCCATCCCCTGCTGAGCTCACCCGACAACTATGTGGGCCTCAGGCCTGGCAGGGTCCTGGCAGCAGACAACTGCGGTGTCTGGAACTGGGGAGTCATGGGGTAGCTGAGCTAACACTCCCCCATCTCCCCGCAGGCACACAGGCTGAGGGGAACCCCTTCATGGGAAGCCTGGGGAACATCACCGGTGCTCGAGGCCTCATGGGGACCCTTCGGTGTGAGCTCCAGGTTCAGGGGGAGCCCCCCGAGGTGACCTGGCTGCGGGATGGACAGGTCCTCGAGCTGGCGGACAGCACGCAGACCCAGGTGCCCCTGGGCGAAGACGGACAGGAGGACTGGAAAGTGGTCAGCCAGCTCAGGTGCCCCACTTCCCCCATACCCCTACTGGCCTCTGCCCCCATCAGAGTGGGTGAGGCCTGGGCCAGAGCCCCAGCCGGGTCGGAAGTCCAGCTTGGCCAAGGGGCGCCCTCCGCCCCAGGTCTTACTGTCCTCTTCAGCATGAATCAGTAAGAGTCCCCACTTCTGAGCTCTTACGAGCGGCGCCTGCAGACCCCCTCAGTCCAAACGCCCCCTCCAGTGTCCCGCTGACCCAGCCGCTCTCGCCCTCCTTCTCCTGCAGAATCTCATCGCTGCAGCTCTCGGACGCGGGGTGGTACCGGTGTGCCGTGGTCCTGGGAGGAAAGACCTTCGTGTCCCAGCCTGGCTACGTGGGGCTGGAGGGTGAGTCGGGGTCAGATCACGGGCCCTGGAATCCCCAGGGGTCTGAAGACTTCAGAGTGTCCAAGACTCATTCAGCCGGGAAAGATCTGAGATCGGTGAGGGCTCGGAAAGCGAGGGGATCCCTAAATGATTAGGGACAGGTGGGGGACTGAACGTCCTAGGGGAGAAAACATCTTCGTCTTAGGGGCTATTGGATGTCCAGGGGTTAGACAGTATTGGGGTGCCGACATCCTGAGGATTCACAGATGGTGGCAGAGGCACGATCTGATTCTGCCCCATCCCTGGGAGCGCCTCACTGATAAAACGAGGGCCCAGGAGTCAGACAGACACCCAGAAAACAGGTATGAGGGAGTCAGATGACTTGGGGGTCAGACATTAGTCGGGGGTTTAGATACTGAGGTCTTGCGCCCTGGGGGTAGAGGCCTGAGGGGTCAGACATAGGGGTCAAGGGCCCCACAGTCTGCCACCTTGTAGACATCAGATTCCTGGGGGCCCCAGGACCCCAGCCTTGACGCGTTCCCCTCCCCCTCAGGCCTGCCTTACTTCCTGGAGGAGCCCGAGGACAGGACTGTGACCGCCAGCACCCCCTTCAACCTGAGCTGCCAGGCCCAGGGCCCCCCGGAGCCCGTGGACCTGCGCTGGCTCCAGAACGCCGTCTCGCTGGCCCCGGGCCTGGGCCCGCAGCACACACTGCACGTTCCCGGTGAGTCGGGGGCCAGCCGGGGGCCAGAGCCCGCGGGGCGTGGGAGTGGGGAGCAAGGGAGCCCCCCTTGCCGGTGTGAATGTCTGTCTCTCTGTCCCCATGTGTCTCTCTGTCCCCGTGTCTCTCTGTCCCTGTGTCTCTCTATCCCCGTGTATCTCTGTCCCCGTGTCTCTCTGTCCCTGTGTCTCTGTCCCCGTGTGTCTCTGTCCCTGTGTCTCTGTCCCCGTGTCTCTCTGTCCCTGTGTCTCTGTCCCCGTGTGTCTCTGTCCCTGTGTCTCTGTCCCTGTGTCTCTCTGTCCCCGTGTGTCTCTCTGTCCCTGTGTCTCTGACCCCGTGTCTCTCTGTCCCCGTGTGTCCCTCTGTCCCCATGTGTCCCTCTGTCCGTGTGTCTGTGTTGCCTCAAACGCTGTCTCTGCACCTCTGTCTGTCCATCCATAGCCACTCATTTCCCTGCATTTCCCCGCCTCTTTGTTTCTCGCTGTGTCTGTCTCCCTGTCTCCCTGTCTCTGCTCTCTCCCTCCATTCACCCCAGTCTCCCTGAATGGGGCTCTTTGTCCGGGGCTTCCTGAGCTGTCCCATGGCCCAAGTGCGTGTGGGCCCGATGCCCCTCTCAGCCCTTGACCTTGCAGGGCGCTGAATCAACCATGCCCTCCCCCCAACCTGCTGCCTCTGTCCCCATGGCTCCACAGGGGTGGGGAGACAGACCCCAAAGCAGAGAACAGGGGCGAGGGGAGAAAGACAGAGAGAGATAACTAGGAGCACAGGAAGGGGCCACGGAAGTGATGGAGAGAGATGGGTCGGGGGTCCCAGGAGCAGAAGCCCAGTAGCCTCTGGCCACCATCCCTTCTGCAGCAGAAGCTAGCGAGGGGACCCTGGACACTAGGTTCCTGTCACTGAGCTAGAAGAGTCAGAGAACACAGACTGGGGGCTCCGTCACTGGGAGGCAACTAACCCTGGAGGGCCTCGCTTCATGCGCCCCACTTTGCTGCTTCCACCTCCTTGGTGGAGAAGGGACTCCTCTAGAGGGGCAGAGGGGCTGGACGGAGGGAGACACACATTCCCGGCATTCCCAGGCCTCTGAGTGTGCAAGGAAGCGGTGTGATCAGCCTGCCCCCAGAGGGGTGACTCGGGCTCTGGGGTCTGAGTCAGCCAGCCAGGACTCTGGAGAGGGGGGGACACAGTCCTTCCACCCCATTCCAGGAGGCAGAAATGGGACCACCGGTGCGAGAGGGTCTGGGTGTGCCTCGTGTGCGCGGCAGCGGGGGCGTCACCGTGTGTCCGTGTGTCCGGGGGAGGCGCTGGGGGTGTGGATGCTCCCTCTGGTCCTGTGTGAGGCCCGTCAGCGCCAGCCCCCACTGAGGAGGCTGCAGGAGGGCCAGCTTGCGTGTGTGAGTGCGCGTCTCTCCAGGCATTTCGCGATCGGCTTGGGGGTCCCGTGTTGGGTCTTCAGTGTCTCTGTAAGTCCCTCGGGGGGGGTGTGCGAGCTAGTGTGTGCACACGCGTGCATGTGCGGCGGGGTGGCAGTGTCTGTGGCCCAGAGGAGCCAGTGTGGGCAGCAGCTGTGCGTGTCTTGCTGGCTGTTTACTGTAGCCGTCAGCGTGTCTCTTGGCGGTCATTTGGGTGGCCGTCCGCACACGGCCGGGTGAGCAGCTGGCAGGTGCCTGTCACCAGAGCCCTGACCCTGCGGGCGTGTCTCTGTGCTCTCACTGCGTGGGTGCGGCCAGGGGGTGTGGACTGTGGCGCCCCGAGGGCACTTGGCCGTGTTTTCGAGTCCGGCTGCGCTCTGTGGCTGTCTCCGAGGCACCGTGTCCAGCCGTGCCCGGCACGGAGGAAGGCTTGCCTGTCCGAGCAAGGCAACAGTCACCTGCAGCACCAGCTCTGTGTCCCTCTGTCCAGCTCGGCCCAGTGCGTCCGCGGTGTGTCCGCGGTGCGTCCGGATGCCAGTCGCTGCGTGTTGGTTGCGTTGCGGCCCCCTGGCGTCCGTTGTTCCGTCGGTGTCTAATGTGGGGGGTTTGTCTGCTGCTGTGAGAGTCAGCGGCACCCCGAATGTGTGTCCCTGTGCGGCATCACTCGCAGAGACCTGTCCCAGTCCAGGAATTTTGTCCGTGTGTGTGAGCGCGCGGCTCTGTGTGTGTGTGTGTGTGTGTGTCTGCCCGTGTCTGCCCCGCCAGCTGCCTCAGGGCGTGTCCCAGCTCTCCTCCCATCCCTCTCATTCCTCCCAAAACGCTGAGAAAAAGCAAAGAGCAAAGAGCGAGTGAGGGGGAGGGCGTCGGAGGGGCGGCGCCCCGCATCTGGAAAGCACATCTGGAGGCCCCTCCCGCCCTGGAGAGCCCGCTGGGGGGCCAGGGGCAGCCCCAGGTCCCTTCCAC